TTCATATCCTGTGTCCGTAGGCCCTGGTGAATTCGAGCCCTCAGTTGCACGTGTTTCAGACGCCGGGCATGTCTCGCCCGACACAACAGCTTCACTGGTGCTACTTAGCTTAGCTGGCGGGTCAGGTTTAGTAAGTTCAGATTCTTGTTGTTTATTTGTTTTATTCTTCTTTTTTGAAGTTCCAGAGTTCCTTAATAGGTAACCTGTAATTTTATCCGCCTCACGATCTTGGCCGCTCATTATTATCAGTAGATTTTGTGGGTTTTAGGAAGAGCGTGAAGGAAAGCTATTCTTCCCCAAAGGCAGCCATGTTGTGATCCTAAATTTGTGATCTTAAATTTGTTTGTTCTTATTTTTGGTGGGGGCCGTCTGCGTACAGGTGGTGTTCCATTAATTCCATTTATCGGATCGGGATAGTCAATGGTTGGACCTTTGCCTCCAACAAAATGCTAAAAAGAAAACGTAAATTAATAATTTGTATGAAACACAACAACCATGTGTATGTAGTTGCACTGTGACTGGCAGTAGTTTATCAATTAATATTATAGGTTAATTCACAAACAACAAGTTTTCATGATAGTCAAGGTATTACATACATCGCAATTCATTTTAAATAAATACTAGGCCGGCCTAGGCCTATGCTTTGGTATCGGGTGCATTCCATGAACAGTGTCGTGGTTTATGCAGATGATGAGTCTGAGGCCGAATACATTCTAATGTTCTAGGCCTTAGTTTAGGCTATTTAAACGCATTGGAGAAGATTCAACGTCAGCTACATACACGAACCTACATGTTATTAAAAAAGGGGTGTTCCCTAAAAATCTTTTTAGGCCTAGGCCTAGTCCTTGCATAGGGTCTAGCAAGGCCATAATAATCACATAAATAAAATATAAATGGAATCCATTCCTACCGTTGAGCAGACAGCTGTGTGTTTGTTTACCCTGTTGATATTTAGGTAAGCATGACGTCTGCCACAGGCACGAATCCACCGTAAACACTTTTCTTTTTCTTTTTTGGGCTTTGGAAAAGGTATTAAATTTCCTTTCAGTTTTACCCTATCTGGGTATCGCTCGTCGCCATTACACTCTCCCCACACACATCGGAGAACCATTTTCACAGCGCAACCGACGATGGTTTCATCGCATCACCGCTCTGTATATGAGATGTAAACTCGTGCGTTTTGTGGAAAATGTGTTTGTCAGAAAGTGCGTATATGCCTCGTTCTGATTGGTCACTTGAAAGTTTGATTGACAGCCCGGAAAGGTCTATTGTTGACCTGAATACTGACCTCCATTGTCAGTATCACTATTACCGTGACTGATACTGACCTCCATTGTCAGTTTCACTATTACCGTGACTGATGTTAAGTCAATTAAAGTATTCATTTCAAATCATCCGGGATAGAAATCTACGAGTACAAGGTAATGCTTATTGTTTCACTCAAATATATCTGTGGCAACTATCGTCCATGGTAGATATGGAATATTATGTAAAAGTAAGGGCTAAATGGCTTGATGTGCCTTTAGGGCATTACATACCTGGCAGGATGACACAAACATGTTTATGTCATTGCACATTGATCTCCAATAGACAATTCCCCGTGCTCTGTGTTTTGTAGCTTCCACTTCAGGATGTCCTTTGTGTAGTATTTGTGTATATGATGACTGGAGAGAGAGAGCTAGAAATTATGCTTTTATGTCCTTTCATAACTATTCCATTGTCTACTGAGAGTTCATCTCTGAAAGTAAAATAACTTCGTATTTCTGAAGGGCACGACTTTGGAGTTTTTTTAGCATCCCTTAAGTATTGTGTTAATTGTTGCCACAGATATATTTGAGTGGAGCAATAAGCATTACCATGTACTCGTAGATTCCTATCCCGGATGATTTGAAATGAATACTTTAATCTGAGAGTGCGATCCTCTTTCTTTGCACTTCGCAGCTCTTCCTGTTTAGCATCACAGATATGTGCGATACTTCCATGAATTCATACAGATAATCATCATCACCAGTACCTGTAGTAGGTGCTCGTGATAAGGTGTCTGCCAAATATAGCTCAGCACCTTTCTTTTATACCAACTCAAAATGGTATCTTTGTAACTGCATTAGTAATTTCTGCAAACGAGCTGGCGCTTTGTGAAGTGGCTTCTTCACAGTGGTTATCAGTGGTTAATGGTCTGTTTGTATGGTTATTTGTTTCCCATATATGTACTGATGAAATTTTTTTGTTGCAAACACTATGTTTAACAGCTCTTTTTCTATTTTTGCATAGCGCTGTTCGGTTTCTGTCATTGTTCGTGAGGCAAATGATATTGGTTTACCATTTTGGAGGCATACACAGCCTAAACCATACTGGGATGCATCGCATGTAAGGGTTAAGTGTTTGGTCACATCGTAATATGCAAGGACTGGTGGGCTTGTTATCATACTTTTAAGCTTCTCAAAAGATTCCTGCTGATGCGGTTGCCAACACCATTGCCTGTCTTTGTGTAACAACTGCCTTATGGGTGCTGCTACTTCACAAGTTCTCTATGAATTTCTAAATATAGTTTGCCATACCAAGAAAACGGCGTAAAGCTTGTGTATCCTTTGGAGCTGGCATCTCGCATACAGCCTTTATCATCTCAGGATCAGGTTTTATACCATTGTCGGTTAGAAGGTGTCCAACATAGGAAATCTGACTCTGTCGAAACTTTCATTTGTTCTTATTCAAGCGGAGTCTAGATCTTTACCAGTGACTAGCAGGTCATCCACAATTATCTCACAAGGATATCCTTTAGAGTATTTCCATTGTGCGTTGAAATACTTCTGATCCACTATTGATACCATATGGCATTCTAAGATACCTGTATCGGCCAAGGGGAGTGTTGAACGTAGTCAACTTTGAAGATTCTTCATCTAATGGTCTAGTTCGAAACGTCTCCAGTTTTCAGCTACGTTTCCTTGAAAGGAAATCGCATCCGGTCTACGTATCCCATAGTCGGCCATATTTCGTTGCTATGGATGGGCCTAGCTGTACCCAAGCAGCAATAATGTATACTATCGTACTTTACTGTACAAATATATCTGATGAATATGTGAATCCACTAAAAGTTTATTATTTTCCTCAACTTCTGACACCATGTAAGTTATGACCAGCCTGAGGCACTTCGTAGATTACTAGGATTGATTATTGAGGTACTGACCGACATACATGTACGAGATGGGTAACGCCCCGAGAGGGCGTGCTTCAAATTAATACAATGTTCTACAGCTTACATCCATGCCGAATGTTGGCTATAATATGTAACCGGCAAGCGAAACATGTCTTCATTTTTATAGCATCTTGGTCGCTTCGATTTGTGGATGAATAAGAGATGCAATTTGCACGTGCCTGAGGCATTGGCACAGCCCATGATTGTTACCCAGTCCTTTGATTTTGTAAAGTTTTTCGCATTTTTTTCGTTTCGTAAAACGAACGAAAGATTAGGCATTAGCCGCCACCAAAGACCTGTTTCATCGGCGTTAAAAATTTGATCTCTGGTCAACTGATTTTCCTCAATGATGCCTTCACGTTTGGTTTTGAACGGGTCAATAAAGTTAACATCAGCTGATAGTGATTCCCCTTGAAGTGTCGTCCATCGAATTCTATGTCGCGCTTTGAACTTATCTAACCATCCACCGCTAGCCAGAAAGTTTTGGCCAGGGTAAAATTGTTCGGCAAAGAACAACGCCTTCTCTCTTAACAACGGTCCCTGAACAGACACTCCATTAGCCCTCTGCTGCTCCATCCTCGTGTACATGGCCGCGTCTACTTTATCGAAGATTGGTGTTTTCACATACGAAGATAAATTAATTAAACAATCAGGTCTATGCTCCTCCCATGCTCCCTCCCTACCAATGAAAAGATTTCATTTAAAATAATACGTACAAATGATTCATTTAAATTGCATATATTTTCTGTCTTTTCTTATCTAAACCCTATTCATTGTAGTACTCGAAATATGGTGGAAAGTCAAAAATTTGCAATAAGTGTTCAACTCGGCGAGATAAGCACTTTTGTGCAAAAAGTGACAATGTTAAAAAGTTGGGTCAAAATGTAATTTTTTTTTTAGGCACGGTAAGATAGCCTGAAACAAACACTATTCCATTGAAAGTTTCAAGTTTTTCAGAAAAGTACTCGAAATATGGTGAAAAGTCAAAAATTTCCACTAAGTGCTCAACTCGGCGAGATAAGATTTTTGTGCAAACAGTGACAATGTTAAAAAGTTGAGTCAAAATGTAATTTTTTTTTATTAGGCACTGTGAGATAGACTGAAACAAACACTATTCCATTGAAAGTTCGAAGTTTTTCTGAAAAGTACTCGAAATAAGGTGGAAAGTCAAAAATTTTCATTAAGCCCTGAACTCGGCGAGATAAGCACTTTTGTGCAAAAAAGTGACAATTTTAAAAATTGGAGTCAAAATATAATTTTTTTTTTCTTAGGCAAGGTGAGATAGCCTCATACGTCACTTTTTGCACACACCTTTTAATTCAAAATACAGTTCTTTATATATTTTAAAATGTCAGGAGCTTTTAGGAATTCCCTCTAAATCACTAGTTTTCAACAACCGCCCACCACACTAGTCCTAACTCAGGCCTACGGCTCTTGGTGGATGCTTCACCAAATGACCCAGCAATTAATTTTGCACTGTAGTCCAGTCAATCTCTGGATTTACCTAGAACAAAAATTGCAACAGAAATAACTTTATATTTAAGTGCCAATTCGAGCCATCGAGAAGTCCCTATTTTAAAAAATTTAATTAAGGATGGTGGTGACTCCTCCCCCCCCCCACCCCTTCACTAACCCTCCCCCATCATAATGTTGAAAGGTA